AGTTGAGGAACAGGAAAGTACCCACACAGCTCACAAATAGACATCTGTTAGCACATGTGCGTGGTTGAGGTGTGAGATGAGGATACCCCCCCCACCACCCCCCCAACCCCCCACCACCACCCCCAATTGCTGTTGAATAACCTGAGGACATTCACTATCTATTAACCTCTCGCAATCATCAGAATAAAGCACAAGGGAACTGTCGGGTGTCTTAGTCCCTTACAGCTCACCAAAGAGTTAACATCTCCAGAAGGTGAGAGGGTTGAGAGAGAGAAAAATATAAACAAGAATCTTAAGATGGGAATGGGCAGGAAACAGTTCAACATTGCACGAAAGATGAGGCAGGGAGTTATGCCACAGCCCCTAAACATTTAAAAAACCGGACTGACTTGCAAGCAGCAAAATTGGGATTTGGTGTTGAATTCGCACATATCAGGACATGACAGGGCTGTGCTGCTATCAGCAATGCATATACATACTCTGCAATGCTGATTTGACTGTATAATGATTTGCCCTTTCAGCTTAAACTCAATTAAAAACAGAACGGGATTGCCCAGCATTCATCAAACACTGCAAAGTTGAAACCCCATGTTTTAGAACTGGTCTTTTTTATACCCCTTAAACACTTAACGCTCAAAAAACCCATCCATCCATCCATCCATCCATCCATCCATCCATCCATCCATCCTGTCCCTGTGCATTCTGCGTGTAATTGTGGCTCGGACTTGCTGGTCGCGTTCCTCCTGTGCACACTGACCCGTGCAAAAGGCGTGTCATTCACATGCAAAGTATCTTTGATCTGCAAATGCCGACATTTGATTTGGGAATAAATAATATCGGAACCGATTAACGATGTTCGGGTGTCCAAGTGCGTTCAGGTATTACTTCGAATGATAAACTCGATGTGCTACAGATCGCTTCTCTCCTCTCTCTCCCTCTCTCTGTCCCTCTCCTTTTTTTCGACTGTGGGGCTTTCCTGTCTGTGAGTATCATAACCAATAACCGCTAAATAAACGTGTGGTGTGTCAGTGACTTCTCGCTTCCCCGTTTCCTTCTTAATAATACCTACTGTAAGTGCGATGTCTCGTCGCGCTTCGGGACCCCCTGCGCTCTGAAATGTAGTGACTGTCACGGAAGGTAAACGTGACCCATCGGGATCTGTGCTGTTTCCCGCTGACAGCGATGTTGGGGAGAACCCAATTGAATGGTGATGGTTGGTTTCCGCGTGTGAATGCGTTTGATGGCCGGGACAGGGATGGGGGGGTGGGGGGTGGGGGGGGGGACTCGACTCACACTGGATCCCTCTTCAGAGCAGTGCTAAGTATGGGATCTTTTGACCTCCATCCCGACCCACTGGAACAGAAGGCGATCTGCATCTAATCTCTGTCTCTGTCTCTCTCTCTCTCTCTGTGTGTGAGTGAGTGTGAGTGAGTGCTCAGTTTTTGCTGCTATCGCCAGATTTTTGTTTCTCTTTTTTTTTTCTCCCTCTCTGTCATCAGTTTATTGGTGTGGGGAGTAACCCCCCCACCAACCCCCACCCCCCCCAACCCCCTGCGCAGGCGCCTGGTGTTATTCATCGCTGCCGCAGACAGTCAGTCAGACAGTCACTCTCTCCCTCTCTCTCTCTCTCACACACACACACGCACACACTCACTGCGCTGCGCTGCAGCCGTGCGTCTCGCTGACTCAGCTCAGCTCAGCTCAGCTCGGGCTCGGCTTCCATCACCAGCCAGAGACAAGCCTTCAACTTTACTCCTCCGGCAAATGCGTCTGCTCTCAGCCGACCCGTCTCCTCTGCTCTCTCTCTCCCTCTCTCCCTCTCTCTCCCCTCTCTCCTCCCTCTCTCTCTCCCTCCGACACCTCTCTCCTCTCTCCCTCTCTCCCTCCCCCCCCTCTCTCTCTCCTCTCCCTCTCCCTCTCTCTCTCCCTCCCCCCCTCTCTCTCTCCCTCTTCCCCTCTCTCTCCCTCTCCCCCTCTCTCTCTCCTCTCTCCCTCCCCCTCTCTCCCTCTCCCCCCTCTCTCTCTCTCTCTCCCTCCCCCTCTCTCTCCCTCCCCCCTCTCTCCCCCTCTCCCCCTCTCTCCCCCTCTCTCTCTCCCTCTCTCCCTATCGTAAAGACTGGCGGCGCCGATCAGCGCACTTCTCCCCCCCAACAGCGAACACCGTCCAGCACTTTCCTACCCCCCGAGATCGCTGAGGGGATCTGCAGCTCACACCCCCCCCCCCCCCCCCCGAGCCGAGCCCGGGAGGTTTTTTTGTTTTCCTCTCGTGACATAACGTTTCCTTTTTCCATTCCCCAAACTCTAACCTTGGCACACGAACAAGAAAAGGGGGGGGAAGAGGGGGAGGGAGAGACGCAGTGGGATGTGCGCCCCCTTCTACATTCACAAATAAAATGTTTTAATATGTATTATATATATATATATACACAGAGCGACAGTTACATTGCTGAGCACACGTTCGCCCCGCATTCACGGTGCACACATGCACTGTGTCTGAATGCAACACGATTTTTTTTTGTGTGCACACCTTTTAACCCCTGAATGTTGCAGAACAAACTGTGCATCTACTATATATGTGTGTGTGTGTGTGTGTGTGTGTGGATCATATATTTATGCGTAACACCGATGTGTATTTTTAGAACTCACTCGCTGAATACTTTTAAAGAGAAACATAGACGAGGTCGTGCTGTTTGGGTGAGTGAAGCTTTCCTGACGGTGTTGGGGAGTGCGGTAAGAAATAGCTGGAAAGGGGTTTTGAAAACGCCAGAGACGTGTTTCAATGGGAGAACAACACGGTGTCGGACGTATGCAGAGAGAGAGAGAGGGAGGGAGAGAGAGAGAGGGGGGTGGGTGGGGAGTGGGGGGTAAAGGAGCAAATATAAAACGAGGCAAATAAGAAGAGATTGATGATGTGGAAAGAGGAACCTCTGCATTTTCTCTCCGCGTTTCAGTTCCCCTTTTCACTCGTGTAGGTGACGCCGCCTCAAATGAGTCAGAGACAGGTCTCACATTCCCTCCGACACTCGGCACAGGATGACACACAGGGAGAGGAGGGATGAGGAGGGAGAGGAGGGAGGGAGGGAGGGGAGGGAGGACTGGGAGCCGCTAACCTGAGCCCCACTGCCAGCCCCGCGCACCGCATAACAGGGAAGGAGGGGGATTTGCAGACCTCCTGCCCGAGGGAGAGAAGAACATTATTACTACACACGTTCACTCTTTTGTAGACTCCGATCCCGGAAGAAACCTCCTCAGTGTGGAGTCGGGCTGTGCGCCATCCGTACCACCCGCAGCTACTTTCTGAACACAGCGTCTGAATTGTACACACACGACACACACACACACAACACACACACACAGTGAGAGAGAGAGAGAGAGAGACCCAACTTGGGCTGCAAGGAATGGCAACGAACTCCCCGGCAGATCGACACTGATGGAATAACAAGGAAGGACCGACCGTGTGCGGGAGGAGGGATTGGGCACCACAGCGAGGACTGCGTCAGGAAACTGAGATGGACTTGGAAGGACCGGAATAAGCAAAACTTGCTCTTGTTAAAAAAAAAAAGAGCGCTGCAGCTGTAATTCGCCCTCTTCGTTTGGGGAGGGGTGGGAGGGAGGGGGGGAGGTGGGGAGGGGGGGGTTTCAACGATTCCCACTTGATCCACAAGCGATGCATTTGCAGGCTCCGCCGGTTTGAAGATTCGTGCATTCAGATCAGTTTGTCGCTGAGTCGGGATTATTGTGTCTTTTTCTATCGTCTTAAAATTCGCGATCAACTCGGAGGACTCTCTGCGTTTGCACCCGTTTCTGATCCCCCCCCCCCGAGCCTCCCACCGCCAGCTCTGTGGTCGCACACGAATAAAGTCATTAACTGCAAAACCTTTATTCTGCGGGACTCCGCGATCGTCGCCAACTTCAGCAGCAACCGGGAGGGAGGGAGGGAGGGAGGGAGAGGGAGAGAGGGAGGGAGGGAGAGGGAGAGAGGGAGGGAGGGAGGGAGAGGGAGAGAGGGAGGGAGCGTGGGGAGAGGAAGGGGGGGCGATCGCGTCGAGGGGAAGAGTGAGTGAGTGAGTGAGTGAGAGAGAGAGAGAGAGAGAGAGAAAAAAAAGGCTCACCACCAACCTTTCAACTTTCCGATCGGGTCCAGACCTCTTCCCACGACTGTCAGTCAGTCGCTGCCTCTGAGTCAGTCAGGGACGGGCGGGCGGACGGACGGACGAAGGGAGGGAGAGAAAGGCAGAGAGTGTGGAAAAGGAGGGAGGGAGTGGGGTGTGTGTGTGGGTGTGGGTGTGGGGGGTTTGCTAAAAAAAAAAAGAGGCAAAGACTGCAATAGCAACGTTGAATCGCTCCGAGTGCTGCAGACACACACATGCACACAGTGCTGTCCAGTGAGCCGCACCGTGCAGGTACAGACAGGGACAGTAACTGCGGATGCAGAGAGCAAACTTGGATCAGCGAGAGCTGTGCGTGTGTGTGTGTGTGTGTGTGTGTGACTGTGACTGACTGACGACCAAACTGCACCGAGGATGGATTCAAGGTGATCAGCTTTTACTTTAAACGCTTTACGGTGTTTTATTTTTCTCTCTCTCTCTCTCTCTTTTTTCTTTTCGGTGTTGCGGTTCAAACGGGACCGAAATCCCGACTCGGTTTACATGTGGTGAAAAGGGTGCGGGGTGAGTTGGGGGGGGGGGGGGGGTGGAGAAGAAGCAAAAAAAAAAGGGGGGGTGGTGGGTGGGGGAGAGAGAGGGAGGGAGTGATAGTGAGTGGGTGGGTGTGCAACTAAAAGCGATGTGTGTGGGTCCGGATTCGGGAAGAAACTGCAGATTACTTTATTGAGTGCTGTTGAATGCACAGCGGCGGCGGCCGAGGGAACCGGGACAGATCCCGGTACCACTGAGAGAGAGAGAGAGAGAGAGAGACACACACACACACACAGAGAGAGAGAGAGAGAGAGAGAAGGTGAAGCCCAGGGAAGGGAAGGGAAGGGAAGAAGGAAAGAAAGCAAAGAAGGAAAGCGAGAGAGAGAAACAGAGAGAGAGAGAGAGAAGGGGGGGAAGAAGGAAGAGTGCGGAAAGAAAGGGGCATTCGGGAGCGATGAGTTTCTGCCGCTTCGCGTTGGTGCTTTGGCTGCGGATCGCGGCGGTGCGGGTGGTCGCCGGCAAACAAGCCCTCCGTTACCGGGTGGCCGAGGAGGGTCCGGCCGACGTCCGGATCGGGAATGTGGCCACCGATCTGGTGATCGCGACGGGCCCGGGGTCGGGCGAGGTGACGTTCAGCCTGGAGTCGGGCTCCGACTACTTCAAGATCGACAACATGACCGGAGAGCTGAGGACCACCGGTCGGCGCATCGACCGCGAGAAGCTGCCGCAGTGTCAGATGATCTTCGACGAGAACGACTGCTTCATGGACTTCGAGGTGTCGGTGATCGGTCCCTCGCAGAGTTGGGTGGAGCTGTACGACGGCAAAGTGATCGTGGAGGACATCAACGACAACACGCCCAGCTTCCCCTCGCCCGTGCTGACCCTGACGGTGGAGGAGAACCGGCCGGTGGGGACCCTGTACCTGCTGCCCACCGCCACCGACCGGGACTTCGGCCGGAACGGCATCGAGCGCTACGAGCTGGTGCAGGAGAGCGAGCTGAGCGGCAGGAGGGCGGGGGGCGGCGGGGGGGGCTCGGGCCGGGCAGAGCCGGGTGAGGGGGGCGGCAGGAGGAGGTTTGAGCCCGGTGGCGGCGGCGGCGGGCGGCGGTGGCGGCGGTGTTGGCGGCGATGGAGGCGGTGGTGGAGGGGAGCCGGTGCCGGTGCCGGTGCCGGGCAGGAGCAGCGTGTTCGAGCTGCAGGTGGCCGACACCCCGGACGGCGACAAGCAGCCGCAGCTGATCGTCAAGGGCGCGCTGGACCGGGAGCAGCGCGACTCCTACGAGCTGAGCCTGCGGGTGCGGGACGGCGGCGACCCCGCCCGCTCGTCGTCGGCGCGGCTGCGGGTCCTGATCTCGGACGTGAACGACAACAGCCCGCGCTTCGAGAAGAGCGTGTACGAGGCGGAGCTGCCGGAGAACAGCCCCCCCGGCACCCCCATCCTGCAGCTGCGGGCCAGCGACCTGGACGCCGGGGTGAACGGGCAGATCGAGTACGTGTTCGGGGCCGCCACCGAGTCGGTGCGGCGGCTGCTGCGGCTGGACGAGGCCACCGGCTGGCTCAGCGTCCTGCACCGGATCGACCGCGAGGAGGTCGGGCAGCTGCGCTTCACCGCCCTGGCCAAGGACCGGGGCCAGCCGCCCCGCACCGACCGGGCCACCCTGCTGCTCGGCATCCGGGACGTGAACGACAACGTGCCGGCCGTGGACATCCGCAAGATCGGCCGCATCCCGCTGCGGGCCGGGGTGGCCAGCGTGCCCGAGGACGTGCTGGTCGACACGCCGGTGGCCCTGGTGCAGGTGTCGGACCGGGACCAGGGCGAGAACGGGGCGGTGACCTGCACGGTGGTGGGCGACGTGCCGTTCCAGCTGAAGTCGGCCAGCGAGCCCGAGAGCGAGCAGAAGAGGAAGTACTTCCTGCACACCTCGGCGCCCCTGGACTACGAGGCCAGGAGGGAGTACTCGGTGGTCATCGTGGCCGTGGACTCGGGCAGCCCGAGCCTGGCCAGCAACAACTCGCTGCTGGTCCGGGTCACCGACGTGAACGACAACGCGCCCGTCTTCGCTCGGACCCTCTTCACCGTACCCTTCGCCGAGAACAACCCGCCCGGTCAGCCGGTCTTCACGGCCCGGGCCGGCGACGCCGACGGCGGCAGGAACGCCGAGCTGGAGTACTCCCTGGCCGGACCGGTCCAGGGCATCTTCTCCATCCACCCCGACACCGGGCTGGTGAGCGCCCGGGCCGTGCTGGACCGGGAGCGCACCGAGCGCTACGAGTTCCAGGTGGTGGCCCGGGACAAGGGCAGCCCCAGCCTCCAGGGCAGCGCCGGGGTCCTGGTCCTGGTCACCGACACCAACGACAACGATCCCACCTTCATGCAGGACCTGTTCACCTTCTACGTGAAGGAGAACCTGCAGCCCAACAGCCCGGTGGGCATGGTGACCGTGATGGACGCCGACCTGGGCTCCAACGCCGAGATGACCCTCCACGTGGAGGACGGTGGGGGGCTGTTCTCCATCGACAACGCCACCGGCACCATCTACTCCACCGTGTCCTTCGACCGGGAGCAGCAGACCAGCTACTCGTTCCGGGTGACGGCGGTGGACGGGGGGGAACCGGCCCGGTCCTCCACCGCCCGGGTGTCGCTCCACGTGATGGACGAGAACGACAACGCGCCGGCGGTCACCTTCCCGAGCAACGCCTCGTACGCCCTCCTGCCGCCCTCCAGCAGCCCGCGGACGGTGGTGGCCACCGTGCTGGCCACCGACAGCGACAGCGGGGTCAACGCCGACCTGGGCTACGGCATCGTCGGGGGGAACCCGTTCAGGCTGTTCGAGATCGACCCGGCCAGCGGGGTCATCTCCCTGGTGGGCAAACTGGCCCAGAGGCACCACGGGCTGCACCGGTTGGTGGTGCAGGTCAACGACAGCGGCCAACCCTCCCAGTGCAGCACGGCCCTGGTCCACGTCTTCGTGAACGAGAGCGTGTCCAACGCCAGCGCGGTGGAAGCCCAGATTTCGCGGAGCCTCCACACGCCGCTGAGGCAGGACATCGCCGGCGACCCGGGTTACGAGCTGAGCAAACAGCGGCTCAGCATCGCCATCGGGGTGGTGGCCGGGGTCATGACCGTCATCCTGGTCATCCTGGTCGTGGTCCTGGCCCGGTACTGCCGACCCAAAAAGTCCAAGAACGGATACGAAGCCGGGAAGAAGGACCCCGAGGACTTCTTCACCCCGCAGCAGCACGACAAGTCCAAGAAGCCCAAGAAGGACAAGAAGAACAAGAAGTCCAAGCAGCCCCTGTACAGCAGCATCGTGACCGTGGAGGCGTCCAAACCCAACGGACAGAGGTACGACAGCGCGGATGAGAAGCTCACGGAGAGTCCCGGTATGGGACGCTACCGCTCCATGAACGGCGGACCGGGCAGCCCCGACCTGGCGAGACATTACAAGTCCAGCTCCCCGTTGCCAACGGTGCAGCTTCACCCCCAGTCCCCCACTGCTGGGAAGAAACACCAAGCCGTCCAGGAGCTGCCGCCGGCCAACACCTTCGTCGGCACCGGAGACAACATCTCCATTGAATCGGATCACTGTTCTGAATACAGCTGCCAGACCAACAACAAGTACAGCAAACAGGTAAGGAGCGAGGTTTAGCTAAACCTCCTGGGCCACTTTAGTTGGGGAGGGGGTGGGGGAGGGGGTGGGTGGGGGGTGGGGGGTGTAGGTTTAACGCTTGGGAGTGCAGGGTGCAATTTGCTGCTGTCAAGGATGATGTGCGTGGACCCTCACCTGTAAAGTTTTGAACCTTGAGCACTTAAAAGCGTAGCTATGGAAAGGAGTAGACTTTATCACGCAGTTTCCAAAGGGGGTGGGGGTGGGGGGGGAAGAAAAAAAGTTTCTAATTCATTGCATTTTCAAGTGATCGACACAGTGTCGTTACCTATTTGCAAATCGAAGGCAGATACCCATCTCGTTTTGTCGCAAAGGTTACACAGTTGAGCGAGTGAACCCTAAATCGGGCGTCTTGTAAAGGTGCATTACAGGTGCCAGAGCTTTTCTGATGCCATTGCGCTCACAGGAGGTTAATGTTTGCACTCTCTCGCACCACTCGATGCTTGTGATCTCTGTCTGCATTAAAGACCGATTGCTGTGTATGCTCCGGACGTTTGGTCCCGGATCCAGTTCACAGTAACTGTACCGCATGGATGCACTGTCCACATTTCTTTATGCAGTGAGAGATCAGCGTGAAAAAGGAAATTGTTGTATGATTCACACGTCTTCAGGGTTTGCATTTATGCAGTGACATGTTAAGGTACAATGTATAATTCTTGTTGAGATTCCCTTTCAGTGTTGGTATTCACAACATCAACATTTTGCCATAGGTCAATCGCTGCTGGTGAAATTCAGACCTTGTAAATGCCAATATTGTAAATGAATCCCAATAGAATTTTTTACACAAATAAATATGTACAGATCATTGCAACTGCTACTTTTGCTGCTCTTGCACCTCAGTCACTAAGCTTAGACATCATCCCTGGGAGCTGGAGACTTGTTTCGAATTATACATCAGGCCCAGCATCCCTTCCTAGGGGTACCAACATTGAGTACTACAATACGTCAATATTTGTTTGAATTATGTAAGTGGTGAAGCAGTATGCAGTAAATGAAAGGAATTTGGTGTCATTCAGTAAATTGAAGGATTATCATACTTGGTCCAATGTGTGCAATTTTGATTCAAAGTGTATTTTGAATAGCCCAAATATGCAGCGTTTCTATGTTCTAATTTGGATATAAAACAATTCTGTAGTTTTGAAAGGTTAGTTTAATTGTTGGATATTGTCACACTTTTATCTGCTCATTGAAAGCTGTATCATTTGCTTCCTGCAGTGGGACTTTTAAAATAATCAAGAATGTTATACCAAAATTCTGAAAACATTTAAAGCAGAGTTTTGACAGTATTTTAAGACCATTGCATTTAAGGTACTTCATGTGCTTGCTTATAAAAGATAAAGTAATATGTGAAGATATCTTGGTCACTTTTTGTGTTGATTAATCACAAACATTCTTGTAAATGTTAAATAGAATATTTGTCAATACAACAAGTAGTTCTTCAACTCTCCCTCTGCTGTCTAAAATAATAAAAGCAAGCTGCAGCAAATCTGTGCGTTTTGTGTCTGTTCCAGGTTCAGATGTTGACAGGAGAACTAGACATATTGTATATATGCATCAAGAACGAAATAGCGAGTAATTGATACATATATTATTTGTTCGATGTAGACTATTTGCAGACCCTAGTGGAAGTTGCACATTTGGGACTCTTTAATCAGGAAGAAGAAAGTTTACCATCTAATATTTCCTTATTGCTTCCTGCATACAAATATTAAAGCTCAGATGTATCAGTAACTTGCCTACGCTTTCTGTTTATTTAATTTGGGTAAGTAAAGTAAAGCTCAGCTGTGCCAACGGAGCAGGATTTGCATGTTACCATTCAATACAAATGCTAATATATTGTCTTCATGAAGTCTTATTGGACATTGTATATATGACATTCTTCATTGTCGTGGCATTAAAAGAAATATCCACTGCTGTGCTGCAGACTGTGAGAAAAATTCAGTACCAAGTGAATAAAAAATGCTTTAAAAAGGCAAATTACACACATGACAATGTTAAGCACTAATACTGAAATGAATTATGAACATAGAATCACAGAACTTACAGCACAGAAGGAGGCCATTTGGCCCATCGTGCCTGTGACGACGCTTTGAAAGAGTTACCAACTAGTCCCACCGTCCTGCTTTTACCCCATAGCCTTGCAACTGTTTTCTTTTTAAATACCTATCCCTTTTGAAAGCTACTGTTGAATCTGCTTCCACCACACTTTCGGGCAGTGCATTCCAGCCCGTAATAACTCTCTGTGAAAAAAATTCTTCTTGTCTCTCCTTTGGTTCTTTTGCCAATTATTCTCACTCTGTGTCCTCTGGTAACCGACCCACCCGCCAGACGAAATTTTTACTCCCTATCTACTCTATCAAATCCCCTATTAAATCTCCCTTCAACCTTGTATCTTAGGAGAATAATCTGCCCCTTTCTTGTTTCTCCACATAACTGAAGTGCTTCATCCCTGGTGCAATCCTGGTAAATCTCTGTTGCACCCTCTCCAAAACCCTGACATCCTTCCTAAAGTGTGATGCCCAGAATTGGATACAATACTCCGGCTGAGGCCTAACTAGCAATTTATAAAGGTTCAACATAACATAACTTACTTGCTTTTATACTCCATGCCTCTATTAATAAAACCAAGGCTCCCATATGCTTTCTGTATTATTTCTATCCATTTCTTGTTGAAAAAAATTGGTTGCGTTCCAAATATCAAAACATTTATACAAAATATTCTTAAATTATTGAATTGAGCAGCTTGAAATATCTGCAGCTAATCGATTAATACTATTTTTATGCGCAGTAGAAGCATGTAAATTCAAAACAGTATGACTATACTGAAGAATTATTTTCTAAGATACAAAATAACAAGCGGTTTGGATGAAAAAGGCATTTGATCTTATCTTTTCTGTCTTAAAATTGACCGACACAATCCTGAACTTGTTCTTCTTGATCTGCTGTCTTGGTGTATCTGAAAGTAGTATTCTGAGCTTACTTTCTCTATCCCATGACATATATAATATATCTATAAGCTCTCTGAAGTGTTGCTCTTTTAGACCGAAGAGCTCCAGCTTCTTTAATTGTTCTTCATAGCATGTTCCTGGGATACGCCTTGTGGCTTTCTTCCCCTCTTCTAGGGCTTGGGAGACTGCAATCAGATCCACTTCAACATATCTCTAGAGAATTTAACCATGACTTCTGGAGATCCAAACTCAACTGATTATCAATGTATCTTGTTAATTTTTATAGGTGGAGGCTATTTTATTGTTACATGCAGCACCTTGCATTTATCTGTCATGAACTCGATTGGCCAGTGATCAGCCTGGTCCAGTACTTATCTTTGCAAGGCTTTTGCTGATTTGACATGTCCCCCCAACGTATAATAATAATAACAATCCTTGCATTTGATATAATGCCTTATCACGTCGTTGACACGTCTCAAAACCCTTCACAGAATATAAAGTGAATTAACTGTATATTTTGTGGGCGAAATGCAGCAGCCAATTGCACACAGCAGTGTCCCACAAACATAAAAGTATGTTTTAATAACCAGTCAGCAACAGTTCAGCATTTGAAATAAATTTGAGTACACACATTGAAAAAAAGTGTGAATTATTAATAATAATTTTATCACTGTGAAATATTGAATAAAATTCACATCTTCTTTAAACTAGGTTTCGAGGAAGCTGAAGTTTATATAGATAACTGATTATCTGTGATAGTTTAATATTTGGGTGTGCATGAATTCATATAACAAGTTGTAATCCTAGTACTTATGTTGCAGAAAGAACAGTAAAGCATTTGCTTTATTTATATCTCCAGCTGAATAACTTTAAGCTGTTTTATTCATGAATGAAATTCAAAGTTGAATCATTTCTAAGTGATGACTGAAAGGACTAATGACTAACCTGTCTTTCTTATCTGTCTGTTTCACTGTAATAGTAACTGATAGCGGATTGTAACAATAACTGGTAGGAGGCATGATATTTTCATGAATTTAAATTCAGTGATGCATCAGATAAGCAGAACCAAAACAGCAAATTTCAATTGAAGAACAATAAAAAAAGGATCATTTTCTTATGATCCTTTTGATTGCAACTGAAAATTAGTACATTTGGGACATTATTAATATAAACTCAATAGGGTAATGGTTGTGACATAGTCTACATAAATCTCTGCAGAATGGCAGTGGTGGGATGGCTTCTACAGTTAATAACCATAATAAAAATAATCCTTACATTTTGTGTCAGGCAGATGCCGCAAAGAACTTCACAGAATATACTGTAAAGTGGAGTTACTGCATGTTAATAATAATAATAATCCTTGCATTTGATATAATGCCTCATCATGTCATTTGAGACATCTCAAAGGGCTTCGCAGGATATACTGTAAAGTGGATTGTGTATTTGTGAGTGAAACGCAGCAGCTAGTTGCGCATAGCAATTTCCCACAAACAGCTATGGAGTGAGTGATGAATTTTGTTTGGGGGATTGTTGGCCAGGACACTGGGAAAAACTTCCTTCTCTTTTCAAATCGTGCCATGGGTTCTTTAACATCCACCTGAATAGGTAGACAGGACCTCGGTTTAATGTGTCATCCGAAGGACGTTGTGTACGTTATTGACCTCAATGTCTAGATAATTATTTGAGGAGGACAAGTTTTCGGGGCTATGGAGAGAGAGTAGGAGAGTGGGATTGAATTGGATAGCTCTTTACAAAGAGTCGGCACAGATACGATGGGCCAAATGGCCTCCTTCTGTGCTATATAATTCAATGATTCTATGTCAACACCAACAACTTGCATTCATAAAGCTCCGCTCACGCAGGGTAACGTCCCCGAGCACTTGACAGTGGTGGACCACAATGCCAAGCCGGGGGAAGGGGAGTTGACCATAGGCACTGTCGGATAGGAAGGTCTTCACGTGCGACGTAAAGATGGTGAAAGAAGGGGCAAGGCAGAGGGATAGAGAAAGACCGTTC